CCAATTCTACATCTTATATTAATGGGCTTTAGACTTGTCCTTCCCTTCAATTCACTGAAATATAGGGTTATATTGATTCAGTACAATTGCAATATATGAAAACACATAGACAGCTTTTCTTTTTGACAGTCTATATTATGGTACATTTAAGTAAAGTGTTTGAAAAACCCTTTTTAAGTTGCAGCAAAATATTGTGTGATTGCATTTTGTAAGTCCCTTTAGTCCTGTGTTAATATTGTATATGTCACACAGTACCTAGCACACAGTGATCATTCTGAGCAACAGTGAAAATACAGTCAAAATATGTAACTTTCACTAGATATTTATTTTTTGGTAATACACAGTTTGTATGTTTTGAGAACACACTTTCCAGTTCCTGTTTTGTGCTTGCTTGAGCTATTCAATTTGGTCATGAAAGAGTGTAACACAAGTTCAGATTAGAGATTGAAAATATTATGAAACAGGGTACCATATATTGTACGTAGCCCGATAAAGAACAGAACAGTACGAAGAACAATTTATTAAGTAAAGAAAAAAATATTTTATTTTATGATCTGAAATGTACATTATCATTGACAAAGACCAATATCAGTTCACATTATTATAACACAATGCAAATAAAAACAAAACTATCCTTGGCAAAAGTAAAATACATAATATCTTACAACAAATATTTATTATGCTGGATTCTGTTTCTAGTGAGAAACCAATGCCATTAATTACAAACTAACAATAGGTTTTGCCACCGTCATTTTTATTGATCATAGTAATACTTTCATGTTTCATTTTTAACAAACATGAGTGAAGAAATGAGTATTTGCAAACAACGTACAATTTGTCTGCAGTAACGCTTTAACATTTACTTAAATAATGATGTTTTACAATGCTACATCTCAGAACGATACACATAGCTCATGACTTACAACACATGGCTAAATTTGTACTAAGTGGTGGTATTACATAGAAGAGAGATTCCGGAATCAGAATACTCAGATGCTAATGGCTTCACTATGCCTACCAAAGTCACAAATGTTTTGTTAAAATAGCACCACTTAGTAAACATGAGATTACTAGAAGTGTTGGGAATAACCCACAGGGATGAACGTGTAACTAAAAATTAAATAAATAATATCTGCATAAACAGGTTATGCTATATTAAGGTGGTTTGTTTCAATACAATCTGCAGCACACTATATGGTACTACAGGGACAGTGATGTTACCCAAAATACATGGGATTATTAGACACGCACAGTAATTGATAATAACCGTACAATCAAACATATCCCCAAAAGAGATGAAATTTTCAAATGTGTCATGCTCACATTTATTTACAGGTAATTTACCAGCACTGACTTTTCATAACCATCTCTGATACCACTTCAGTCTATAATTGTTGCACTGCAGATTATGCTTGACATCGAATCTCATTCACTACCTTGCAGCATGAGAAAGACTTAAAATTAGGGCCCATTCACCAGCAGTAGTGTCTTTCCAGTATAGTCCTTGTTATGGCTAAATTCCATTGTCCCTTTTTCAGCAGTCACAAATCCATGATAAATTCCGTATAACACTGTAGTTAATAACAGCAGCACCAAATATGATATTAATCCCTTGTTTAAAACTTTTCCTTTTATATTTAGAATGTAATATATTCACGTATATATTAGTAAATGTCAGAAATATATATATATATTTTTTTTTAATTATTAAATTTGCCATGCAATTCATGCTTTCTTTTAATTTAGGATAGTTCAGTAAAAGTTAAATTGCAAAGACTTTATAAGTTATCAGTGCTAAATAGATGATAATATAAACAGACGAAAGACAATCAGGGATTATTCAACAATCTCAAGGTTAGTATATAGGATTTTTGAGCCTTTTTATTAATCACCAGCCCAAAACATCATGTCTGCGGTTATATTGTATATATTTGTTCCTGATCAGTCATAGAACTTCAAGTATAATGCAGATTGCTGGTAGCTGAGTTAAATCCATCACTGCTGAAGTCGGCATAGATTACTCTTAGACCTGTTGTAACATCCAGGTAATAATGTTTTGATTCTACATAATTCATCAACCATACTTAAAGCACATGAAACACAGCAAAACACAAAATAAAGAATGGAGTCTGATATTTACTGTCCACTGGCACAGTTTGAAAAAAGGTGAATGAAACATCTTAACAACTGAATAGACGATTCAACATGAACATATATGACACAAAAGTAAAAAAAAATGCTGGATAAAAATATGCAACATTTTTAAATTCAGATGTTTAAGGCTGGTCAAAAAATCCCTCTATACAAAGAAGCATGGCCCTTTTATTTGGATTAAAAAATAAATTAGTATTTTTTGTTTTTATTTGACTTTATTTCTTAGAATTTTGCCTATGAAAATGTTGAAGAACCCTGGTGTAAAAAAAATATATCTGCTAGTTTAGAATTGTGAGCCTGGATGGCATTTACCTTTTCAAATGTATTGTGCCTTCCCAAGCCATTATGAAAGAGATCTGGCCTCTGCTTGCGTATAACCAGTAATGACAACCTCTTTGCAGTTATCTGTGTGCAAACAACCAGAGACATTCGGAACTCTATTACAAGATTTTTAGTACAGTATAAAAAATATATCAAAAGTAATCTAAAAATGTCAACTGAAATAAGGAAAGAAAACAAACAAACAAAAAAAAAACCTACTGGCAAACAATTGATTAGCGAGTGATACGATGCCAAGCGTATATTCAAGGCTATTTGGCAGCCCCAGTAATCTGCGACATTGCGTTGATATGATTTGTAGACAGAATGGCCCAAGCAAATGGTCTGATCTGTTACACTGCGAGCGGTAAACACAGGATCCCAGACATCTTCAGAATGGATCAGAAACTCACAAGAAATGAACGTTCAATGAAGTGTTGGTTATCATTTGGAAGCACATTGGTATAACTGTATGTCCCTGAAAATATATAATTATTAAAGATACTGGCCGATTATTCCACAATTTATTCTTTTTTTTAAATTATTATTATTGCCACAGAAAAACGGTCAATTAGTAGTTATGCAGAAACTCCTTATGTCAAATAAGTTTAAAGATTAAGAAATCATCTGCTGACAAAGTGGCATCTCCATTTTAAATAATGAAGTATTTGTACTGTCTGATTAAAAGTTCCTAAAGTTAATGCTACAATTAATTAGTTCCATTAGTAGTAAACAGTACACAAGATAATTATATTTCTCCAGATGATGAAGTCTGTTCTACAAGATAGATGGGATGGGAGATCGGGAACGTCTCAGAGGACAAGGTGAGCTGTAAGGTGATGTAACGGGAGACAGCCTCAGAGCATTGCCAGCCAAGCCAGCTATGTTGTTTAAACTTCGAGATTTCTCATATCCTTTTACGAAACAATGCACAGACATCAGTTGAATTGAGCAAGAAAAAGACAAAGACAAACAGTAAAATGAAATGCAATCAATTATGATCTTATCAAACAAGGCCTACAATGAATAGCTGACACAATTTATTTAAATATCAAACCTCAAATGTGGAAGTCAAATTTGGCAAAATAAAATTGAAAATTATGGGCAAGAGTAATAATAATATGGGGGTATCTTTTTATGTATTTGTTTTTTAGAAAATATTTAAACATGGTAAATTGTGTCAGCTGAAACAAGATGTCATGTTAAATTATAGGCTAAAACAAACATAAAATAAAAAAAAATGAAACTTTTGTTATTAGAACTATCATTTAATGACTTATATCAGCAATGAGAAAAAGAAAAAAAGCTTAATAGATCAAACAGTAAATAATCAACTAATTTCTATAACTCCAATTTGAATCTGCATTATAGCTTTATAAGAATTTTATTTGATAAAAACAAATAGGTAATATAGTTATGCAAATACTTGTAGTAATGTGTGTGTGTGTCTTGAAAGCATAATCAAGCAACTTAAATCTGTTTAACCTTAAATCAACACCATAAACATAAATCCATAGATAGTTATATAGATACATATGTAGTCACATTTTTTAATATGTTGACATAGCTTGCATTCAAATGATCTATAAATTAGATTTTACTTTTTTTAAATATCAGAAAATTGCTCAAACATATTTATTAACATTTGGAAACCATGGCTTGGAAGTGGCAATTTCCTACTATGTTATTGCTATTGTGTTTCTTAATTTTCTATATATTTATATACTTTTATTGTCTTTTTTTATTTTAAGCAACCATCTCACAGAAATTCCTATATGTGATGTATTATTATACTGAAGTACACTAATTTCTTTTTATTTTATTTGATCTAATTTGATTATTTTCCTTTAAACATATAATTCCTGAAGCTCTTTAGGGGACAATAAAGTCCTTTTGTATTTTTTTAGAACCTTCAAACACATATGGTTAACCTCTTTAGTCACTTTAATGCTTTTTTCCTGGGTGTTGTGTAAAGAAAAAAAAAGTTACATGTTTCCATAAAAGATAATTTTAAGTAAATAACCATATAGATACCGAATAGTTATGTGATTCATTCAGAGCTGCTACAGAGATATTGTGTTTTAATCAATAGCATGTCATTATATCATTTTAATGTATTTTACATATACATTGTAGAACCATAGATTTAATTACTAATTAATCAAAGTTTTTCTTTTTTTTCATTCAAACTAATTTATGACTTATTTTTATTATTTTATTTTATTAACTATTTGCAATGATAAAATTATTTGTTCATATATGTTAGTAGAACCTAATTGAATTTTGGCAAATGTAGGTTCTCAAAAATTCCACAATAATTTCAAGCTCATTTGAGCAGGGTTCTTGTCAACTTATTGTTCCTGTAACATTTTGTAATTTTCTAATTTATAGTTAAATACCCCTCTTGTATAATATTCTAAAGTGCTGTGGAATAATTTGGTGATATATAAATATCAATAATAATACAAAAAGAGCTGTCTCATGATTGTTTTGAGGAATAGGGTTTGGCCATGTAACTTTTTTAATAAAGGTACAATGTGTTAATAACCACCTGGGGAAATTTAGGAAAATAACTGTAATAGAAATAAATTATCAGGCTTTTTTGCTCTTCAATTCTGGTTTATATTTTGCAACTTGTTATCTCACCTAACGCATGTTTATTGAATAATATTTGTTTATATGATTATTGTATTTCTGTGATGATGATGATGTACAGTCACAAATATATAACAGAATTACCAATAACATGTATTTAAAATAGTAAACATATTAACAATTTAATTAAATCTATGTTTCTGTATATTTCAAGCATTGGGAAGGAGAGTAAAAATATATATAAGTGCTATGCATCACTCAGATAATTTCCTGTTTTTCCGCATGAATTCCAGAGTATAACTATCATTTGCCCAATTTGACCTTAGACAGCAAAAGAAAAATTGATTTCATAGCAATTGAGATGGAAGTACTGTATTTAAAATGCCAGTGGTGAGATACCAGTCCTCCAGGGAATCTGCACAGACAAAATATGTTATACATACATCATTCTTTAAATTGTTATAGACCTAATTGTTTTTAAAAGCATTTGCTTAAGTAGTCATTGGAGGCTTAAGAAGACACACAAATAGAACAAAGTCATGTGTGGTAGGTGAGCAACTAGCCTCCAGCACACAAGTGCAAATTACTATGGATGTGCATTGTTTCAAGCTGAAACACTGCACATCCAGACTCCTACCACCATGAGAACTCCAAAAAGAAGACATGGTCATGGTGGTTGAAGTAACATTTTAACTGTGTTCTCCATGTACCCTCTAGAATTATATTTACATTTATATTAGCTTTACCATTCCAAGGTCTTGAAATTTCTTCCCATCCTAATGTTTTGAGACATTAATTTATTAGTCAAGATCTTCCAAGCTTTTATAGTAATCTGTAGGTCTTTAAATTTAGCTTAATTCTTCACAATCCAAAATAATTTTTTGTAATTGAGAAATTGGCATCAGGGATTGTAAGACTAAAGTACATTTGATGAATCACTGATGTGTGATTTCATTGGTTGTCACATGTGTTGCATACAAGCTTTTAACCTATTCTATATGTGCCAAAATTATAATTTATTTTCTTAAAGTCTAGGGAATGAATTGGTGTAGTAATATCAAAAGCTGTATGTTTTAAATTTTACTACCAAATTCAAATTAACAAGATTTAAAAACAACCATTAAAAACACTAGAAAAAAAATTAAGAATGAAGAGCCAATCTAGTTAATACTATGGTAGTTCACTAAAATAACATAATTGTTAGACAACTACTTTTATTATGGTTTATTTAAATATATACTACACTGGTAGCCAACACTATAGCTATAAAACTATAAAATGTTATTCCCAACCAGTCATTTAGTTCAGATAGACTGTCATATAAATAATTTAGGTATCAGGATTTTGGATGTGCACCTCCCTGTGAGCTGTTTCCAAGAGTTGCAGTAAAAGCCCCATTAAAACCATTTAATTTCAACTCAAATGTTTCCAATAGTGTCTACTAAGAGCTGCAGCAAAACATCTAGTGGACACCTTCTATTACTACTTGAAAGCTTTCCAGAGTTTCCATGCTCATCTACGATTTTTTCTTGCAAGATGTCACAGTGTCAGATCGGCGCGATCATGTGGCCGTGACCGATCAGCAATGTAATGCTAGCTTTGGTCCCAGACATAACTCAACTCACAGCTA